AAACAAGCCAAAACAACAAGTTGTTACTCTTTTTGACGGGTTTCCCCCCTCTACATATAGAGATTCCCGTCACTGTCCACTCCTCTACACAGCAAGGACTGGTCACACATCATCAAGTCCCTGATCCAAGAACTACAGGGGAAACTAGAAATATCCTCAAGAGATGGTAGAAAACTACAATGAGCCTCCTCTAAAAACTCAGGAACATTTTGATTGCCAATGTGCTTGCTTCAGCAAGACCACTCTAGATATTCAACATACTTCTGACTGATTATTTAGATCACTACTGCTTTTACATTTTTGTCTGTCCTCAAGAGATTTTTACCATGAGAAAACCAGGAACTATTTATTTATTGTAACCTTGAGTTACCATTTTACCAAAGAAAATGTGACTTTAATGTCTATCCTTTATGCTTATCTAGAGAGATTATCATTGTGTCTATCCTATCTACAGTGTAAATGGTTGATTATTTATGTCTTGTTAAATTTTTACCCGAGTAAATGTGAATGTGTTATATATCATTTATCTTATTTATTTTAATTGTTTAGTACTGTGCCAGAGAACGTATGACCCACCAATCAAGTATTATGTGGGGTTAGCCCAATTTGTGATTGTGCATTTAGCAGAGTTTGTCATAGGCTGTAGCCTTTCGTTAACGTAATAGAAAGGTGTTTGACTGTCAAATCTCAAACAAAACAAACAGGCATGCACACACACCAGAGGAGACTGGTGCAAGGAGCTAAAGGAGGACGGGCTCATTGTAATAGCTGGAATGGAATAAAGTCAAACGTGGTTTCCATATGTTTGTGTTTGATACCATTCCATTTAATTCCATTCCAGCCATTACAATGAGCCCATCCTCCTATAGCTCCTCCCACCAGACTCCTCTGGCACACACACACAGACAGGTTTTCCACATAGGCATGCATAGACCAACTTTAATACGGATGAAGACACCTCCTTCAAGGAAAGGGAAATGGTTATTATGTTGGCTGAAACGAAACTCAAGGGAGAAAGTAAATTATCCCCATATGAGCCCAGAGTAAAGGAAGATCACATCATCTGAAAGGTACCAGCAATACTTTTTTTTACATATATAACAGATTTTATGGCTTTTAAGTGTACATCATGCTACTGTCAGGAAATGATGTACGATGCATATACATGTAATAAATGAGATGATGAAATAATGTAGTGTACTATAGATATACTTATCGTACATTTTGACACATTACAGTAATTACTACAATGTTGTTTTTATTTCTGTATCGAAACCAGTCAACAATTTCCCTTATTTAATATCTCCTTGGAACATAGTGAAAACATAGAAAAAGGACACTTCTACTATCATATACTGTTATTATGTTTGCGGTTTGTGATTGTTTTATTCTTTATTGTGTTCTGATTATTGTGATACGCTAGTTACTGTAGGTACACAAGTGCCTTCAGGCTTTTCTCATTACCTAGGTGTGCCAGTCATACCATCTGTGGGCATACCCGTATGCCTGTGTGCTTACTGCTCACTCTCATTTGGCTAAGGCAAATACCTCAATAGACAATGCACCCTAGAGTCTAGACCATGGATGGCAACTCCAGTCCTCGGGGGCCTGATTGGTGTCAGACTTTTGCCCCAGCTAACACATCTGACTCCAATAATCGTTTCATGATCTTCAGTTTAGAATGCTATAAGTTTAATCAGCTGTGTTTGCTAGGGATGGGAAAAAAGTGTGACACCACTCTGGCCCCCGAGGACTGGAGTTGCCCATCCCTGGTCCGGTTGTACGGTACTCCTACCACCAGAGGGCAGTAGTTCACTGTAATTCAGTGGTGCACTACCTTCCACAACCTCCAAAATTGTGACTTGTGAGTAGTTGAAGTGGGTAGTGAAAAGTAAGACCAAGAATGTACATAAACTCCTTCCTTTCATCAGAACTTGAGAGCCCACATAGGAAAGAGATTACATCTCTGACATGCTTTTAGTCTCTCAGTGAATGATGAATACTTACCCTGCTGAAAAAAAACAGAATAGACCAGACTACATTTCAAGCTGGTCCATGCTGGTCATTGCTGTGCTGTTCAAGTATGACCAGCATGATCTAGCTGGTTAGGCTGGCCGACTAGCTGATCAAGCTGGTATGTTGATGATGCTGGTATGCTGATGACCAGTTTAGGCTGGTGATGCTGGTATGCTGGTCTATACTGGTCCAGCATGGTCTAAGTCAAGCTGGTCTGACCAGCATGGTCTATCTGGCAAAACCACTCCCATCATTATCATATTTCCCAGCATGCTCTATTGCAGTTAGATTTTTAAATTGTTTGTTTCAATATATGTTTTTGCATGTACGTTGATTGATTAATTGATTAATTCATCTTATGCTACACAAAGATAAATAACATAAATGTTTCTTAACTAATCGAATAATCCAATCTGTTAGTTGGATTTATTGCACCCGTTACTGAAATAGTTGGTTTAGATGGTTTAGGTAGAATATTTTATTCATCTTTCTAACTCTGGCAGTCATTCTGAATCCAGATAAAAATGTCCCATCAGCACAGTGACTTGAAGGCCTGGTGTGGCGGCTGTATTAGGGAAAAACTAGGCCCTCAAATTAAGGCCTTATATATAATGTATTATCTTCAATAATTAAGCATTTTGATGCTGGTTAACTGCACCAGCAGCATATGCTGGTCACCAGTGCCCAAAACACAGTGAAGACAGGTCACCAGCAAAACCAGCACTAGTCACCAGCATATGATAAATATCTCTTAACACCCCCCTCTTTCAACGTTAAAAAAAATCAAATTGCAGACAACAAACACTCTCTGAAATACTTCATGTTGACAGATTAAAGGAATCCAGCTCCAGACATGGCCTCCTTTTCCTTCTCCTCTGTCTCTGTCTACAAGGACACCCCTGTTCTGATCGAACAACATCTCAAGTGCTCTATTTGTCTGGACCTGTTTGAAAACCCAGTCACCACCCCCTGTGGCCACACCTTCTGCCAGTCCTGCCTGGACCGCAACCTCCAATTGAACGACAACATATGCCCCCTCTGCAAGGAGTATCTGAAGAGGAACCCAAAGGTGAAATATTAGTCTTCTTCTTCTTCTTCTTCTTCTTCTTCTTCTTCTTCTTCTTCTTCTTCTTCTTCTTCTTCCTTCTCCTTCTCCTTCAAGACGCATATTTGGAGAAACCGACAGGTAATAAGTCAGTCCAGACATTTAAGTGCTAGAAAAACTAAATATAACACATCCTGTCTTGGCCATTTTCCCAATCAAAATAGTTGTTTGAGGGGATGTATTGTATTGGGGAATGATGTCTGTTGTGTACTATATTTTTCTATGTGGAGGGTGTTGTGTTGATTATGATACTTGTAACTTGTAACCTTTGTTGAACTGAAATTGGTACATAACCAAGTATATGTTATTTTCCAAATCACAAAAATGTATCTGATGTTTTATGCATTGGGCCCGTAACCGAAAGTTCGCTGGTTCGAATCCCTGAGCCGACTAGGTGATAAAGCTGTCGATGTTCCCTTGAGCAAGGCACTTAACCCTAATTGCTCCTGTAAGTCGCTCTGGATAAGAGCGTCTGCTAAATGACAAAAATTTGAACAAAATTGGATGGTACCCTCATTGATCGTGTCACCGCTTATAAATATTTGGTCATCTATATTGATTATAGGCCTTCCTTCAAACAGCATGTTGATGAGTTAGTTAAGAATTAAAACGGGCTGCTTTTATAGGAATATGTCATGCCTTTTGTTAAATAGCAGAAAATCATTCAGTCGACATTCAGTCCTGTCTTAGACTACGGCAATATCATCTATATCAACTCAGCTACCACTGTATTGAAACCACTGGATGCAGTTTATGCATTGCGCTTTATTACGGGCGATAGTTTCAGCACACATCACTGAACTCTGTACCAGAAAGTAGGCTGGCCATCTTTGAAGTCTCATAGATGCATTGCACGCTTTTTGTTTATAAATCCACCGTACCTCACTTCTCTGTTAACCTACGGAAATACAAGCTATCAGACACGGTCTCAGGGATGGCTCACTCTGGAGATCCCTTAGATCTCAACAGAGTTAGGTAAATCTGCCTTTAGCTATTTTGCACCTTGCTTGAGGAATGGTCTATAGCCCTCAAACTCAACTCTGGACCTCAAAGCAGGTTCCACTGCATTTTTTCATTGTTCCCATCTAATGAGGGACTGATTGAGACCTGGGACACCAGGTGTGTGCAATTAATTATCAGGTAGAACAGAAAACCAGCAGGCTCCGGACCTCGTAAGGTAAGAGTTGAGTACCCCTGGTCTACAGAGTTCGCTGAAATTGGAGGAATTGGTGAAGAATGTGTTTTATGATTCTGTGCTCGATGTTGTTTCTATAAAAAATGTGTTTTGTGTTTGTGTTTTTTGCTTGCTTATATATTTGGTAGGTTAACTATACATTTTAAATATGTTTTATAACTTTCCCTAAGTCATTGATGTAAATCAGGAATAAAAAAATACATATTAACTGACTTGCCTTTCTTAATTGTCCCTGAGGTGATAAATAAAGTTGTATTAGATTGAATAATGAACGGATAAACAAAGCATAATAGCGCAATACAATATTACCCACAGGTGAACATCATCCTCAGGACCCTAATCCAAGAACTGAAGAAGGCCCAGGAAAGGAAGCCAGGGGAGTATTCCGGAGCCTTGGGCGAGGTGGCCTGTGATATCTGCACTGAGAAGAAATTCAATGCCCATAAGTCCTGCCTGGTGTGCTTGGCCTCATACTGCGAGACTCACCTGCGAACCCACACCTCTGCAGATAGGCTGAAGGGCCACAGGTTGACTTTATTGATTCTTAATCACAGTTCATACAGTTCAAAAACTTGAAGAAACTCAGAACATCATACGAAATAGCATCAGAAAACACACACTTGGATACACTTGTTTTTGATTCTTCCGTTTCTTGATTGGAAAGTGTAAAAATGTATACACAGGCTGGTGGCCCCCGTGGAGGACCTGGATGGGAGGGCCTGTCTGACCCACGGTCGACCCCTGGAGCTGTACAGCAGGGCGGAGGGGCGTTGTGTCTGTGCTCTCTGCATGGAGGAGGGTCACGAAGTCGTCTCCACAGAAACGGAGTGGGACAAGAAGAAGGTGAGGTCATAATTCCTAAGGGTTCAATGATGGCTGTAAATGTTTCGCTGTGTTTCCATGTGTATAGTATTGGGTGAGTCTGAAGGAAAGTGTGTATTGAGTGATTATTACATACAATTACATCAACTATGATAAAACTAAGATATCATTTCCTTTTCTTTCCGTGTTTTTGAATATCCAAGGGTGAGCTGGTCAGCAGCCAAGCTGAGATGCAGGAAAGGATCCTGGAGAGAGAGAGAAAGGTGGAGGAGATCAGGGAATCCATGGACCTCTGCAAGGTGAGTCCTGAGTGATTCAGAGTGAGGTAATACATGTCTACCTGCAAACACAGAGCTGTGCTGTAACAGTGCTCTACAAGAAGAGAGAGAGCGAGAGCAAAGATAGTAAAAAAAACTAGGCTTTGTGCACAAAGACATGAGGTATATACACCACCGGTCAAAAGTTTTAGAACACCTACTTATTCAAGGTTTTTAAATATTTTCTACATTGTAGCAATAATAGTGAAGACATCAAAACTATGAAATAACACATATGGAATCATGCAGTAGCCAAAAAAGTGTTAAACAAATCAAAATATATTTTATATTTGAGATTCTTCAAATAGCCACCCTTTGCCTTGATGACAGCTTTGCACACTCTTGGCATTCTCTCAACCAGCTTCATGAGGTAGTCACCTGGAATGCATTTCAATTAACAAGTGTGCCTTCTTAAAAGTTAATTTGTGGAATTGATTTCCTTCTTAATCCGTTTGAGCCAATCAGTTGTGTTGTGACAAGGTAGGGGGGGTATACAGAAGATAGCCCTATTTGGTAAAAGACCAAGTCCATATTATGGCAAAAACAGCTCAAATAAGCAAAGAGAAACGACAGTCCATCATTACTTTAAGACATGAAGGTCAGTCAATACGGAACATTTCAAGAACTTTGTACGTTTCTTCAAGTGCAGTCTCAAAAACCATCAAGCGCTATGATGAAACTGGCTCTCATGAGGACCGCCACAGGAATAGAAGACCCAGAGTTACCTCTGCTGCAGAGGAAAAGTTCAATAGAGTTAACAACCTCAGAAATTGCAGCCCAAATAAATGCTTCTCAGAGTTCAAGTAACAGACACAACTCAACATCAACTGTTATATAATAATAATAATAATAATAATAATATGCCATTTAGCAGACGCTTTTATCCAAAGCGACTTACAATCATGCGTGCATACATTTTTTGTGTATGGGTGGTCCCGGGGATCGAACCCACTACCTTGGCGTTACAAGCACCGTTCAGAGGAGACTGTGTGAATCAGGCCTTCATGGTTGAATTGCTGCAAATAAACCACTACTAAAGGACACCAATAATAAGAAGAGACTTGCTTGGGCTGAGAAACATGAGTAATGGACATTAGACTGGTGGAAATTTGTCATTTGGTCTGGAGTCCAAATTGGAGATTTTTGGTTCCAACCGCCATGTCTTTGTGAGACGCAGTGTGGGTGAACGGATGATCTCCGCATGTGTATTTCCCACCGTAAAGCATGGAGGAGGTGTTATGGTGTGAGGGTTCTTTGCTGTCTGTGATTTATTTAGAATTCAAGGCACACTTAACCAGCATGGCTACCACAGCATTCTGCAGCGATACGCCATCCCATCTGGTTTGGGCTTAGTGGGACTATCATTTGTTTTTCAACAGGACAATGACCCAACAAGGGCTACTTGACCAAGAAGGAGAGTGATGTAGTGCTGCATCAGATGACCTGGTCTCCACAATCCCCTGACCTCAACCAAATTGAGATGGTTTGGGATGAGTCGGACCGCAGAGTGAAGGAAAAGCAGCCAACAAGTGCTCAGCATATGTGGGAACTCCTTCGAGACTGTTGGAAAAGCATTCCAGGTGAAGCTGGTTGAGAGAATGCCAAGAGTGCGCAAAGCTGTCATCAAGGCTGTCACGCCCTGACATTGAGATCTCTAGTTGAGTTGGTCAGGGTGTGAAATCTAGTTTATATATTTCTATGTTGGCCGGGTGTGGTACCCAATCAGAGGCTGCTGTCGGTCGTTGTCTCTGATTGGGGATCATACTTAGGCAGCCATGTTGCCTACCTTAGTTGTGGGATCTTGTTTCTGTTTGGCTTGTTTGATGTTTAGCCTCTCGAACTTCAAGTTCTGTTGGATTTTGTTATTTTGTCGGTGTTTATTAAAATAAACGACTATGTACGCATACCACTCTGCACCTTGGTCCGATCCTTTACACAACGAACGTGACAGAAGATCCCACCACCAATGGACCAAGCAGCGTGGCCAGGAGGAGCAGACATGCTGGACACAGGTGGGGAAAACATTCTGGACACAGGAGGAGATATTGGCCGGTGGGACCCTGGGCGAAGGAAGAAGCCCAGCCAAGAGAGAAAAAACGGCGACTCAAAAGTTCCCGCTCACGAAGGAAGCCCGAGAGGCAGCCCCAATAAAAAAAAAATTGGGGGGCACACGGGGTGGTTGACGGAGCAGCAGGAGGCCCTGGAAGGGCTGATTGTGGAGAGGGAGATGTCGAGAGAAGAAGCCGCTATGATAGATGCCCTCCAAGACCCGCAGCTCAGTACTCTGAGAGAGGAGACCACCGCCTTACAGGAGCTGTTAGTTAAGAGGGAGCAGATGCTCTCCCTTCAGAAGGAGGCGCTGCAGGAGGCCCACAGGGAGAAGGAGTCAGTGGATGCACGGAGAGAGGAGCTGGCCAGGCAACAGGAGGAGCTGAGAGAGGAGTTAACCCTCCAGCAGCAGAGAGCTCAGGCCTTAGAGCAGAGGCTGGCGGAGCCAGGTTTAGCATAGCCAACTCCCCGCACTCGCTTTGAGGAGCGTGTGACCGTGCAGGCACCAGGCTATGCGCCGGCTTTACGCACTGTGCCACCAGTGCGCCTTCACAGACCGGTACGGCCCGTGCCTGCTCCTCGCACCAAACCAGTGGTGCGTGTCTCCAGCCCGGTACGGCCTGTGCCTGCTCCTCGCACCAAACCAGTGGTGCGTGTCTCCAGCCCGGTGCGCCCCGTACCTGCTCCTCGCACCAAACCAGTGGTTCGTCTCCCCAGCCTGGTACGGCCCGTTCCTGCTCCTCGCACCAAACCAGTGGTGTGTGTATCTAGTCCGGTGCGCCCCGTACCTGCTCCTCGCACCAAACCAGTGGTGCGTGTCTCCAGTCCAGTATGGCCCGTACCTGCTCCTCGCACCAAACCAGCGGTGCGTGTATCTAGTCCGGTGTGCCCAGTACCTGCTCCTCGCACCAAACCAGTGGTGCGTGTCTCCAGTCCAGTATGGCCCGTACCTGCTTCTTGCACCAAACCAGTGGTGCGTGTCCCCAGCCTGGTACGGCCCGTGCCTGCTCCTCGCATCAAACCAGAGGTACGTGTCTCCAGCTCGGTGCGCCCCGTACCTGCTCCTCGCACCAAACCAGTGGTGCGAGTCTCCAGTCCGGTACAGCCCGTACCTGCTCCTCGCACCAAACCAGTGGTGCGTGTCCCCAGCCTGATACGACCCGTGCCTGCTCCTCGCACCAAACCAGTGGTGCCTGTCTCCAGCCCGGTGCGCCGCATACCTGCTCCTCGCACCAAACCAGTGGTGCGTGTCTCCAGCCCGGTGCACCCCATACCCGCTCCTCGCACCAAACCAGTGGTGCGTATCTCCAGTACGGTACGGCCCGTGCCTGCTCCTCGCACCAAACCAGTGGTGCGTGTCCACAGCCCAGTGCGTCATGTGCCAGCGCCAGTGATGATCCATGGCACGAAGCCACCAGTGATGATCCATGGCACGAAGCCTCCAGAGATGATCCATGGCCTGAAGCCTCCAGTGATGATCCATGGCCCGAAGCCTCCAGTGATGATCCATGGCACGAAGCCTCCAGTGATGATCCATGGCACGAAGCCTCCAGTGATGTTCCATGGCACGAAGCCTCCAGTGATGATCCCTGGCAAGTAGCCTCCTGTGATGGTCCATGGCCCGGAGCCTAGTCCAGCTCCAGTCAGCTGCTCCACTCCAGTGCCAGAGCAGTCCGCTCCACCGGTGCCAAGTCCAGCTCCGGTCAGCTGCTCCACTCCAATGCCAGAGTAGTCCGCTCCACCGGTGCCCAGTCCAGCTCCGGTTATCTGCTCCCTACCAGAGCCGGGGAAGTCCACTTCACTGGTGCCCAGCCCGGGTCCGGTCGTCTATTCTTCCCCCATGCCGGAGCCATCCGCTCCACCGGGGTCCGAGCCGGAGCCAGACGTCAACCCCTCTCCAGGGTCGGGGTCTCCCACACCAGGGTCCAGACAGGACTTGGTGCATCGCGGGAGGACTGCTGGGCCGGGACCAGACGTCAGCGCCTCTCCAGGGTCCAGATAGTGCTTGGTGCATTGTGGGAGGACTGAGAGGGGGAGCATCGCGCTGGGGTCCAGACCGGACCGGGCGTGCAAAGGGGAGGCAGGATGGGAGAAGAGTTTACTGCCTACGTCAGGTCCGAAGCCGGAGCCGGAGCCGCCACCGAGGCTAGATGTCCACCCGGACCCTCCCCTAATGAGTCAGGTTTTTGCGGCCGGACTGTCACGCCCTGACATTGAGATCTCTAATAGAGTTGGTCAAGGTGTGAAATCGAGTTTATATATTTCTATGTTGGCCAGGTGTGGTTCCCAATCAGAGGCAGCTGTCGGCCGTTGTCTCTGATTGGGGATCATACTTAGGCAGCCATGTTGCCTACCTTAGTTGTGGGATCTTGTTTCTGTTTGGCTTGTTTGATGTTTAGCCTCTCGAACTTCAAGTTCTGTTGGATTTTGTTATTTTGTCGGTGTTTATTAAAATAAACGACTATGTACGCATACCATGCTGCAACTTGGTCCGATCCTTTACACAACGAATGTGACAAAGGCAAAGGGTGGCTATTTGAAGAATCTCAAGTATAAAATATATTTTGATTTGTTTAACACTTTTTTGGTTACTACATGATTCCGTATGTGTTATTTCATTGTTTTGATGTCTTCACTATTATTCTGTATGAGTCAGAGTAAGGTACTACAAGTCTACATGCAGATACAGAGATGGAGGACTGTAACAGTGAGATAGTTCAACATGAGACAGAGACCTGTTGCTCATAGAGAGGGACAAGAGATACAGAGCGTGAGACATGCATACATAAAGAGACCTGGAGACAAAGCACAGATAAAGGTAAAGTGAGAAAGACAGAGAGGCAAACACAGAGAGGGAATGAGATAGACATTGAGGTGATACTGAGTTGTTGTCCACCATCTATCTCTTTAGGCCCAACTGGATAGGGAGAGGAGGGAGATAGACTCTGTGTTTGAAGTGGTTATGATAGCTGTAGAGGAGACCCAGCGAGAGGCTCTCAGGCCCCTGGAGGAGAGGCAGCAGGATGTGGAGAGAGAGGCAGGAGAACTCACCCAGGAGCTGCAGAGAGAGATCAGACAACTGAGAGACATCATCGATCAACTGGAGGACGTTGCTAACCTAGAGGATCACATTCACTTCCTGCAGGTGAGTGACTTTACTTGAACTTAAACCATTTTGGTCTATGAGGAGCATAGGTCATCCACAAATGATTCCTCCCGGCACCGCATTGTATCGCTCTAGTTGACTGAACAGTCTGCAAGCTGCTCGCACTCTTTTTTGTGCTAGATGATTGAGTAGTCTGCAAGCTGCTCGCACTCTTTTTTGTGCTAGATGATTGAATAGTCTGCAAGCTGCTCGCACTCTGTATTGGGCTAGGTGACTGAAAAGTCTGCAAGCTGTTCCTAAGTTGGTTTATGCATGTGTTTGTGTACCAGTATGTGTGAAATGGATGGATTGTACTGGGCTGGGTTGTCTATTGTCTGTCAAATTGTTTTTGAATTAGAATTATATAATTATACACTATAATGATATAATGAAATAAAGCTGTTGAATCATCTTTCTCTGTGACACTGTCTCTCTTTTCCTCTCTCTCCCTCTCTCCCCTCCCCTCTTCTATCCATATGTCTCTCCACCAGACCTTCCCATCTCTGTCATGGCTGGGTGATGGTAGAGACTGGACTGAGGTCTCTCTTGATACCAAAGTCTCCTTTGGCACCATGAGAAGCAGCTGTTCAGCCATGATGGAGAAAATTGAACAGGAGCTTGAGAAGCTCTCCTCGATTGGTAAGATAAAGACAGTGTTGAAAACCATACATATACAGTGCATTCAGAAAGTATTCAGACCCCTTGACTTTTTCCACATTTTGTTACGTTCCAGCCTTATTCTAAAATGAATTAAATAAAAAAATGTCCTCATCAATCTACACACAATACCCCATAATGACAAAGTGAAAACAGGGTTTTTGAAAAACTGAAATACCTTATTTACATATGTATTCAGACCCTTTGCTATGAGACTCGAAATTGAGCTCAGGTGAATCCTGTTTCCATTGATCATCCTTGAGATGTTTCTACAACTTAATTTGAGTCCACCTGTGCTAAATTGATTGGACATGATTTGGAAAGGCACACACGTGTCTATACAGTGACGGAAAAAAGTATTTGATCCCCTGCTGATTTTGTACGTTTGCCCACTGACAAAGACATGATCAGTCTATAATTTTAATGGTAGGGTTATTTGAACAGTGAGAGACAGAATAACAACAGAAAAATCCAGAAAAACGCATGTCAAAATGTTATAAATTGATTTGCATTTTAATGAGGGAAATAAGTATTTGACCCCTCTGCAAAACATTACTTAGTACTTGGTGGCAAAACCCTTGTTGGCAATCACAGAGGTCAGACGTTTCTTGTAGTTGGCCACCAGGTTTGCACACATCTCAGGAGGGATTTTGTCCCACTCCTCTTTGCAGATCTTCTCCAAGTCATTAAGGTTTCGAGCCTGACGTTTGGCAACTCGAACCTTCAGCTCCCTCCACAGATTTTCTATGGGATTAAGGTCTGGAGACTGGCTAGGCCACTCCAGGACCTTAATGTGCTTATACTTGAGCCACTCCTTTGTTGCCTTGGCCATGTGTTTTGGGTCATTGTCAGGCTGGAATATTCATCCACGACCCATTTTCAATGCCCTGGCTGAGGGAAGGAGGTTCTCACCCAAGATTTGACGGTACATGGCGCCGTCCATCGTCCCTTTGATGCGGTGAAGTTGTACTGTCCCCTTAGCAGAAAAACACCCGTCCTTCACGGCGTAGTGTGTTACCAATTGTTTTCTTTGTGACTATGGTCCCAGCTGCCTTGAGATCATTGACAAGATCCTCCCGTGTAGTTCTGTCTGATTCCTCACCGTTCTCATGATCATTGCAACTCCACAAGGTGAGATCATGCATGGAGCCCCAGGCCGAGGGAGATTGACAGTTATTTTGTGTTTCTTCCATTTGCGAATAATCGCACCAACTGTTGTCACCTTCTCACCAAGCTACTTGGCGATGGTCTTGTAGCCCATTCCAGCCTTGTGTAGGTCTACAATCTTGTCCCTGACATCCTTGGAGAGCTCTTTGGTCTTGGCCATGGTGGAGAGTTTGGAATCTGATTGATTGATTGCTTCTGTGGACAGGTGTCTTTTATACAGGTAACAAGCTGAGATTAGGAGCACTCCCTTTAAGAGTGTGCTACTAATCTCAGCTCGTTACCTGTATAAAAGACACCTGGGAGCCAGAAATATTTCTGATTGAGAGGGGGTGAAATACTTATTTCCCTCATTAAAATGAAAATCAATTTATAAAATTTTTGACATGCGTTTTTCTGGATGTTTTTGTTGTTATTCTGTCTCTCACTGTTCAAATAAACCTACCATTAAAATTATAGACTGATCATTTCTTTGTCAGTGGGCAAACGTACAAAATCAGCAGGGGATCAAATACTTTTTTTCCCTCACTGTATAAGGTCCAACAGTTGGCACTGCATGTAAGAGCAAAAACCAAGCCATGAGGTCGAATGAATTGTCCATAGAGCTCCGAGACAGGATTGTGTCGAGGCACAGACCTGGGGAAGGGTACCAAAAAATGTCTGCAGCATTGAAGGTCTGCAGCATTGAAGGTCATTCTTAAATGGAAGAAGTATGGAACCACCAAGACTCTTCCTAGAGCTTGCCGCCCAGCCAAACTGAGCAATCGGGGGAGAAGGGCCTTGGTCAGGGAGGTGAACAAGAATACAATGTTCCCTCTGACAGTTTTTCAGCGGCAGGGACTGGGAGACTAGTCAGGATCGAGGGAAAGATGAACGACGCAAAGTACAGAGAGATCCTTGATGAAAACTTGCTCCAGAGCACTCAGGACCTCAGACTGGGGCGAAGGTTCACCTTCCAACAGGACAACGACCCTAAGCACACAGCCAAGATAACGCATGAGTGGCTTCGGACAAGTCTCTGAATGTCCTTGAGTGGCCCAGCCAGAGCCCGGACTTGAACCCGATCTAACATCTCTGGAGAGACCTGAAAATAGCTGTGCAACGACACTCCCCATCCAACCTGACAGAGCTTGAGAGGATCTGCAGAGAAGAATGGGAGAAACTCCCCAAATACAGGTGTGCCAAGCTTGTAACATCATACCTAAGAAGACTCGAGGCAGTAATCGCTGCCAAAGGTGCTTCCACAAAGTACTGAGTAAAGGGCCTGAATACTTATGTAAACGTAATATTTCAGTTTTGTATTTTTTTAATACATTTGCAAAAAAAATTCTAACAACCTGTTTTTGCTTTTTCATTATGGGGTATTGTGTGTAGATTGATGAGGGGGAATAAAGCTGTAAGGTAACAAAATGTGGAAGAAGTCAAGGAGTCTGAATACTTTCTGAATGCACCGTACATTTTAGATATTTAATCCGCATACAGGGTTTTTTGTTTAGCTTTGTCATACTACAATTGACCATGACAGCCCAAAAATGTGTTTCTTCCACAGAACTTGAGAGGATCCTAAAGTTTGCAGGTGTGTATTGTTTCATTTCATGGTAAAAATACATGAGCATATAAAGACTTCAATCTGCATTAGCGTACATTGATCTCAACCACATTCATTTTGTAGTAGGCCACATTTGAACCTCATTCAGGCCAACTCATAGGCCTTGTATATGCCCAAATACTGTGCTGTATCTTGTCATAACAATAACGTCCATATCTGATATTATTCAGTTGATGTGACCCTGGACCCAGACACAGCCAACATACAGCTGGTTCTCTCTGAGGACGGGAAAGAGGTGAGAGACGGAGGGAAGATACAGGACCTCCCTGACCGTCCAGATCGCTTTGATCACTTCGGCAGCGTCCTGGGGCACAACATGTTAACCTCTGGGAGATCATACTGGGAGGTGGACGTCGGGAACAAGACGGGTTGGGATCTGGGAATAGCAAGAGGAGACGCCAACAGGAAGGGGAAACTCTCTGTGAATCCTACTAATGGTTACTGGGCAATAGTGCATTATAATGGGGCCCAATATGGAGCCTTGGGGGATCCTCCTTTTCTCCTGTCACTGAGAGAGAAACCTCAGAAGGTGGGGGTGTTTGTGGATTATGAGGAAGGGTTGGTGTCTTTTTATGATGTGGATGCTAAGGCTCATATACATTCTTTCACTGGGTATTCCTTCACTGGGGAAATGTATCCATATCTCAGCCCACATCTTCTGAATGGGAAGAAGAACTCAGATCCACTGGTCATCACAAAAACAGGCTGATCACTCATTGTTTGGCCTTGAAGGTGAAAGACTTGCTTCAGGCTGGGATTAGGGCTACAGCTAGGGTTAGGGTTGGGTTAGGATCAGATACAAATATTGTATTTTTTCACTTTATTACACATAGAAATATTTGAATTATTAATACATATACAGTGCCTTCAGAAAATTCACACACTATTTCTACATTTTGTTGTGTTACAGCCCGGATTTAAAATTAAATTGAGACTTTTTATCACTGGCCTACACACGATACCGCATAATGTCAAAGTGGAATTATATTTTTCGAAACGTTTACAAATTAATAAAAAATGAAAAGCTGAAATGTCTTGAGTCAACTTTTGTTATGGCAAGCCTAAATAAGTTAAAGAGTAAAAATGTGCTTAACAAGTCACATGAACTCCCTCTTTGTGCAATAATAGTGTTTAACATTATTTTTCTATAACTACGCCATCTCTGTAACCCCACACATACAATTACAGTGCCTTCAGAAAGTCTTCATACCCCTTGACTTATTCCACATTTTGTCATGTTACAGCCTGAATTCAAAATTGATTAAATATTTTTTTTCTCAGCCACACAATAACCCATAATGGCCATGTGAAAACATGTGTTTTTACATACAGTTGAAGTTGGAAGTTTACATACACCTTAGCCAAATACATTTAAACTCAGTTTTTCACAATTCCTGACATTAATCCTAGTAAAAATTACCTGTCTTAGGTCAGTTAGGATCACCACTTTATTTTAAGAATGTGAAATAATAATAGTAGAGAGAATGATTTATTTCAGCTTTTATTTCTTTCATCACATTCCCAGTGGGTCAGAAGTTTACATACACTCAATTAGTATTTGGTAGCATTGCCTTTAAATTGTTTAACTTGGGTCAAACGTTTCAGGTAGCCTTCCACAAGCTTCCCACAATAAGTTGGGTGAATTTGGCCCATTCCTCCTGACAGAGCTGGTGTAACAGAGTCAGGTTTGTAGGCCTCCTTGCTCACACACGCTTTTTCAGTTCTGCCCACAAATTTTCTATAGGATTGAGGTCAGGGCTTTGTGATGGCCACTCCAATACCTTGACTTTGTTGTCCTTAAACCATTTTGCCACAACTTTGGAAGTATGCTTGAGGTCATTGTCCATTTGGAAGACCCATTTGCGACCAAGCTTCAACTTCCTGACTGATGTCTTGAGATGTTGCTTCAATATATCCACATCATTTTCCTTCCTCATGATGCCATCTATTTTGTGAAGTGCACCAGTCCCTCCTGCAACAAAGCGCCCCCACAACATGATGCTGTCACCCCCGTGCTTCACGGTTGGGATGGTGTTCTTTGGCTTGCAAGCCATCCCCTTTTTCCTCCAAACATAACAATGGTCATTATGGCCAAATAGTTCTATTTTTGTTTCATCAGACCAGAGGACATTTCTCCAAAAAGTACGATCT